GTGTACTTACCTTTTCTACCTATCAACATTTTTTAAGCACCTGCAATATGTCAAGTGTATGTATTAGTCACTTTACATGTGTTATCTAATTTAATCCTCACAACAGCCCTATGAGTTAGGCAGTAGCAGGTCAGTGAAAAAGAGGAAGACCTTCAAGAGATGGCTTTACATTGGTTTCAGCAATGGTCTCAAACAGCAATGACTGTGAGGATGGAGCAGGACCAGGCAGTGTTTTGCTCTGTTGTCACTGACTTGACAGCACCTAACTACAATCCCCATTATACAGATCAGAAATCTAGGGCTGTCCGAGGTTAATTAACTTACTCAAAGTAGCACTCTTATTAAGTGGCAAAGTCATCATTCATTCAATAAATTTTATTCTAATCCATGTATGTCAGATTCCAAAGCCCTGAGGGCTTTTTAATATAGACAGAAAGGTCCCTTTGGGGGCAATTAGCACTGGAGCCACAGGACAGGGCAGATCATGTTAAAGGCAGTTTTCTGTTCCTCTCTCCTTTGATTTAGATTCCCTGTGCTCCGGGAAAGTCTCCTTTGGCTGTCAGTGAGTGCTTAACGTAGGCTAGCACAGAGCTGAAGAAATGATTCATGAAAACAAACACCATATAGGATGTTTAGTTCTACTGGCGACACTAATTATTGTAAGACGGTGAAAGGAACACCAAGCCCCAGCACCTATCCAGTGATTTAGAACTCCAAGTTCTCTGTCACCTCAGTTTAAGCTTCAGACTAAATCCCTTTGTTCCATAATTCGATCAGTGTGGATACCTTCCCCTTCAGAAACAAGGCAAAGCCCATCTGTAATTACAAGGCTGGAACAGCATTGTTGCCATTAGAGGCAACCTTGGCCTGACAAGAGTCCCTGCCATTAATACCCAGCACAGGCTCATAAGAGACTCATATGAAGATTAGGAACAGAGAAGGGCTAGTCTACCCTGAATTGGTCTTCACCATTGAAATTTAGGGTTGGAGGTCCCCAAACTTGCCAGATTCAAACTGTCAAATGAGGAATATTATAATAATGGGTTTATTGCACACAAGTTAGAGTTCTCAGATATTAACATACCTTCCTCTCTCCAAACCATGATGGTATTAGGTGTTAAATTTCTTAAATAATCTCACTTTTTCCATAGTTGACAATGATTCTCAGCAAGAGTTGTCGGTTGAGTTGTAATCTCCTTACCTTTCACTTAGGACTCTCCGCTGTTTGGTTCTTATTCAAGTGAGCTTGGTTGGAGTGGTTATCTCAGCTGGTCAGACCACAGGCCACCAAAGCCAGTGAGGCTCAGTCACTGACAAAATTTTCCTAGTGTTAGCCATCTTTAAGGCAGGTCACAAAGTACGTGGGTGGAAATATACATGACCCTGGACAGGACATCACTGGGACCAATAAAAGTTATCAAATGTCCCATGACTGGGAGTCACTTGTGTCATATTCATGAATGAAGTCAAACATAATCATTCACACACAAAAAATTCTCTTCCTCTCCCTCTCCCTTCTTCATGATCTGTTATATTGTAGATAGTCTAGTGGGTAGAACACCTTCAAACTAATATATCTCCATATGGAATGGGATTACTGTTGTTAATCAGTTAACAATGACAACCTATTAAAAAGACTTCAACCTCTCTAGCCTTACACAGTACAGAAGCAACAAAAGACAGTTGGAGTAACCTCTCAGAGACAACCATACACCTTGAGAGAGAGAATCACTGGGCCTGCCAACTCAGGACCATAGTGTCGGGGGACACCAGGCTCAATTGGCACAACGTAATACACAAAAACCTTGTTCCACAACCTACTTTGATGAGTAGTGACTGGGGTCTTAAAAGCTTTCAAGCAGCCATCTAAGATGCAGCTGTTGGTCTCCTCTCACCTGAAGAATGAAGAAAATCAAGGCATCTGGAAATAATTAGTTCAAGGATATGATGGGCCCCAAGACCAGCAGAACTAGATGGTACCCAGCCACCAATGCCAACTGCTCAGGAAGGGATCAAACCTGGAGATCCTGGATAGAATGGAAGGAAAAATGTGGAACAAAATCCAAAAACACAAAAATGACCAGAATTACTGGTTGGACAGAGTCTGGTAGAATCCCGAAGACAATGGTGGGTTACCCTTCAGGCCTAGAATTGGACTCACTCCTACGGATTGGCTCTCAGCCGAACAGTAGAAAGACCTACATGCAGAACACCTATCCCAAGGCAATACACCTACCTCCTCTAGGGAGACACACCCCTCAGAGTGGTCGGCCATGGGGCACCAGAGGGGTAGCACTCACATAGAGGGAAAGCTGGACAGACAGGAGTGCATAGTTAAGGGCCCACGGAGGGGGCAGTCATACAGAGGGGAGGGGAGGAGAGTTTGTAGAAAATTAAATAAATAACAACACTCCAACCTCTCAAAACCTTATGCCAACTTTGACATTTGGGATTACTTGCACAATTCTGAACTCTTGCCATAATATGAAGTCTTTCACATTTCACAGAGGTAAGAAAACAGCTTTTATTTTGCCTTCCCGTATAGTTCTTGTAAATGTTTTATTGCTGCCTCTGCCATATGGTTATGAAGAAGTTACCCAGAGCACAACTCAAAGCAGCATTTGTCATCTGGATATAGAAACTACTGAGATTTTGTTACCTTTTTGTATCCCTTCAAAAAGAGTTTTCAAAAAGCATATTTGCTTGGTAGTTATTCACTTCCTATTGTCAATTATGTTGTCAACATTTGAGAAACACTGTGAAAAAGACTTGGCATATGTCAGTCATACGTGGAGATTGGTAAATAGGACTATTAAAGTTTGGACAAAGGTGGCTCATGTGTGGTTAGACACACACTAAGCAGAGTGCACCAGAGGGAGGCAAAACTATAAAGAGGATCCACGTCTAGCAGCCTTCCAGTTAACTGGATGTTTAATACTGAGGGGAGAGAGGGAGAGAATTGATGAGATCCTGTAGTCAGTCCCTCTCTCACCTCTCCTACCCAGACTTCCCTTCTCTGATGCTGTGATAAAACCACAAAGCTTCCCACTTCTCTCCACTACTTTTTTTATGGCCTTCCTAATTCCCTTCTCATCCCAGTTCTCCCCTCTCTCACTTTTTATTTTGGATCCTCTGTACCTAGTCTTTTGTTTTCAACCACTTTTAAGGTCATTTCACCCCAGCTGTAAAGCAGCCCGTTTTCTTTAAAGCTACACCTCTTTCCCCGAGCTCAGTAGCCCAAGCTGTGAGGATGATCTATTTCTTGAGTCCTCCAGTGGGCTGGCCTCTACATGACGCCAGCCTGCTCCTCTGCCCTCCCCCTGTGCTCCCCCCCCCCCAAAGAAACCCAAACTCCGTGGCCTCTGAAATTGTGCCTAGGTCCCCAAGGTTTCCGCCTGGATTCATTATTTTTCTTACCCAAGCAGAGGTGGGTTTTGGGGAACATACCTCTTTGCAGGCGTGAAGCTCCTGTCCCGTTCCCTGGATCACCTGGAAGGCAGTCCCAGCCCAGAACAGCAGCCGCAGAAGCCCGGGTGCGCGCCGATCAGTTCTTCCCCTGCCTTTAGCAGAGAGATGGAGGCTGCGCCCGGGCTCAGCCATAGCGCTGTCCTGAGCGAGTGGCAGCGGCGGCTCAGGTGCTGCGGCTGCCACTGCTGCTGGCAGAAGACGGAAAAAAGGGGAGGGAGGTACAGTGGGGGAGGATGCAAGGGGCTGGGCTCGCTCCAGTCACCTCCCTGCGGCTACGCCAAGGCCACCCATCCTTCCTTCTCCCTCCTTTCTCTTCTACTCCTCCTACCCACGTCGCCTTAGCAACCGCCTCCTCTTTCCCTCTGCGCGGGTGGGGCAGGGACCACGCGGGCCTCTGCTGCTCACCTGCGGGTCACCAAGGCAGCTGCCGCCGCTGGCGCGCGAGTAAAAGTGCGCGCGCCCAGGGCTGCAACTGGCCCAACAGGCGGATGAAGGGCTCGTGTACAGAACGCGGGAGAAACACCCTTTAGACCATGGCCACCAAATCATGTTTTTTAATGCCCTTTCGGGCCATGCGCTATTTATGAGCATCTCTAATTTTGCAAAAGGAGCCCTGGCGGTGCAAAGGTTAAGCGCTGGTCAGCTTAACCGAAAAGTTGGCGGTTTGAACACACTCGTGGCTCCGCGGTAGAAAGACCTGGCTATCTGTTCCGTAAAGATTACAGCCTAGAAAGTCCCGTGGGGCAGTTTTACTCTGTCACATGGGGTCTCTGTGAGTCAGAAATGGCCTGGATGCACCTAACAACAATTTTTGCAAACGTGGCGTTGGGCAAATACTTAGTGAGCACCTAGTGTGTGTACAGAGATTGAAAGATTGAGAGGCCATCTCTACCCCCCAGCAGTCACAGCGTACAGGAGTAACCCCAGGAGTCGTTACCTACTGCTGCAGCAAGTTTCCCGAGATTGACTTCCACCCCGCCAACTCCATCCGTGCTTTTACAAGGTACAACCGGTTCTATGCGCAGCCCTGAGTTTAAACAAGGAGAGTTTGCCTCAGCCGGCAGTTTTCCAAGCAAGAATACTCCATCTTTTCTATCCCTTGACATCCCCAGTCTCATTACTTTGAAAATCAGAAAGCCTTTTACTAGGTGCGAGGGAGAAGGAAATTACCGGGTCATCTTATAGGCCTTCTTTCCTCCACTGAAGTCCTTTGCAGAAATGCTGCAGAGTGGGAAGCCAGCATTTTTCATCTGAAGCTCAAGACGCAAATCCAGATCTCCGAGGCACCCTCTGCAGCACTTTCCTTCAGCATTCCCGCCCTCTTCCTCTCCAGAGACCTCCCTTGTTGAACCGCCAGATGGCGCCCTTCTCGAAGGGCTTTCATTTCCGTCATAAATGCCTGGGCAGTTGCTTGGCAACCGAAACTGGGTGTTCCAAACAATTGGGACCGGGATCCTTCTCTAGTCAAGGTTGTACTGCGGCTGCGCTGGGCTCCTATTCCCTAGTAAGAGCATCTGGCTCGGCATTTAACCATGACTCCCACGCGGGACCCCTTTCAGCATCCTATGTTGGATAACGATGACTCCTACTTGGGAAAACTACGGATTTCCAAGGTACTGTGGTTTCTGGCGCAGATTCCCAGGACTGGGTCGACTGCACTCATTCTTTCCGCGTGTGAGAGAGATGCTAACTTAAAAGTACTCTGGTGAGGACATTTGAGTAAGATACTGGCGAAGTCTGTTTCCTGCCTGCCTCCATGTCCACACATTCAGGTCTGCTGACCAGAGGTGCTTTTGAGCAGAGGGTCACAGGGGTTGTAGAGAAACAAGGGGCTCTCGCAGCCCTCATGCTTTAAACATCTGTCTTCACACCTACCGGAATGGGCGTATGCGTGAGCGTGTGCGTGTGTGTGTGTGTGTGTAGTGTGATTTCAGAATTTAGAGATTTTTTTTTTTCTCGGTACAAGTGTTTGGATGTTCAAAGTGATGCAAACTAAGGTGAATTAACTAGTTAGGACAACAAAATCAAAGAGCTCCTTTTATTTACTCAACAAACATTTATTATTTACTACATGCCAGCTACTCTGCTAAACACTGAGGATATAAATTAAATCGTTTCTGCTTTCAAGGAACTCTAGTAGACAAAATGGAAGACAACAGGAATAGCAAACATTCTTACAATATGGCCTGTTTGGTGATGGGGTTATACCTAGGATAACATGAGAACCAGAAGCTTACAGGCAAGTTTCCTTTCGCAGAGCAGGTGACTTCTGCCATCCAAATGTGAGTTAGCTAGGTGGGAGCTCTGGTAGCATAGTGGCTAAGGCACTTGACTGCTAACCAGAAGGCTGGCGGTTCAAACCCACCAGCCACTCCTCGGAAGGAAGATGGGGCAATCTACTTCCGTAGTGATACTGCCTCGGAAACTCAAGGAGGGGTCGCTATGAGTCAGGTCTGACTCGACGGCACATAACAACAACAACAACAACAAGGTAAGGTGAAGGAGAGGGTGGCATGTGAGTTAAGAGGATGGAAACAGGAACCAGACTGTCAAGGCAAAGGAAGCAGCAGGTACACGTACATGGCAAGGAGAGGCAGCTTGGCCTGTGTGGGGGGAACTGCAGAGTCCAGAATGACTGGAGAGCAGGCATGATGTGGAGGACCGCAGAGAGCTGCAGCTGGAGAAGGGAGCCGGGGCTACGCTTTGGTGGGCTGGGCGTGTTGTGTATGCCAAGCTAGTGAGCCCCTGTGGCGGCTGGGGAGTCACTGGTGTGACACAATGAGCTGGGTGCTTTAGCAAGCACAGTGGCAGTGGATTGGACAGGATGGGAGTGGGACAAGCAGGATCAGCGAGAGCAGGTCCAACAGTCTCCAGGAAGAACGAGGGATCTAGAGCAGTGTCAGAGGAGATGGCAATAAGGAGCCAATGTGAGAAAGATCGAAGAGAAAAGATTTGGGGAAAGTAAAGGGGAGGAATGATAGGACTTGGTGCCTGATTGGATATGGGCCTCAGAAAGGGGACAAATCCTTGTAACTGCCAGGTTTCTGAGGGCTTGATTGGTAATATTCACTGAAATGGGGCATTCAGGAGAAGCAGGTTTGGGGAGAAAGATATTGAGTTCAACTCTAGATGTTGCTTGTTGGTGCCTATGGAACATTTAAATGGAAATGAATAGTAGGCAGTAGGGTCAAGAGTTCTGAGTTGAAGATGTATATCTGGGAGCAACGGTATCCACATGGTGGTGGAAGCCATGGAAAGGAATGAATTCATCCAGGGAATGAGAAGGAAAGGCAGAAACTAGAACACGGGAGAATACCACTGTCTCTCTCTCATACACAAGGATCAGAGAGAGAAAGCAGAACTAAGAAGGCAGCTGAGAAGTAACAGCTAGAGGCAGGAGGAAAACCAGGAGGGGCTGGATCCACAGAGGTGGAAGTCAAAATTGTGGTGTCAGATACTGCAGAAGTTATATACGGTCAGGCCTGAAAAGGCCCCACCTGGCCTGGCCAGAGATCATGGTTTACCACCAGCAAGGGTCATTTCAGTGGGTGTCTGAGGCAGATGTCTGTCTGCAGTGGGCAGAAGAGGAGATGGGGAGGAAATATAGTAAATGTTGACTCATGAAGAAGGCTGGCTCTTAGACAAGGTGGCAGGGTGGGTAGCTAGGTACTAATATTGAGAGAAGCTGGGGTCAGTGGAAAGGGATACTAGAATGGTTCAGGCTTCCAAAGTGCAGGTAAAGGCTGGGTCTAAGGAGGACTATTCTTGAATAAAAGGAACTTCCCTTTCTCTGAGATGGAAGGAAAACAGACATAACCATGTACACACTGGCATTCCTATCTGACAGCCTTGACTTTCTCTTTGGAAGACAGTCTTAACCTTCTGCTGATATAGATGACAAAGGTTAAGTAGGCTTGGGAGCTGCCCAGACCCACATCGAAAGACAGCTGAGCAAATCTATGCTTCCAAAAAACCAAACAGAAGTGTATCTGGTGGCATAGTGCCGAAGGCATTTGACTGCTAACCGGAAGGCTTGTGGTTCAAACCCACCAGCCACTTCTCGGAAGGAAGATTGGGTGATCTACTTCCATAGTGATACTGCCTCAGAAACCCAAGGAGGGGTCGCTGAGTCAGAGCCTATGCTTACATCATATTTATTTGTAGTTTTGGTTTGTTTCTTCATTTCTCACCTCTCTTGGTGATTAGCACATACCATTCAATTAAAGTTGAGGTGAACCATGCAGTACTTTGCTACCTTGGGAGGAAGGAGGGTTATAACGTTGGATAGGTTGAATGAGATTTCTACTAGGTTGTCATTTTTACTCACTGGAATTCAGTTATTAATTCAACCAACATTTCATTTTTAGCACCTTCCATGTGTTCGGCCACTGTGCTAGGTACTGGGAATACAGTGGTGAGGAATATGGCATTTTACATGTAACGAAGAAATGAATTATGTGCTTTTTACATTTATGCTTGTGGGATTTTAGACTTTCTTGCAGTCATCAATGGCCCTTACATTAAAAAAAAAAAATTTATTGTAATCTGAAAGTTTACAGAGCAAATTCCTTTTCCATACAGCAGTTCACACGCAGTTTCATGGCATTGACTGCAATTTCCCATAATGTAACAGCTCTCTTCCCACTTCCTCCCTGTAGTTACCTCTTCCATGTCCTTCTTTCCTATGCATTTCTGCTCCCTGAGCTATCTCCCTGTGCCCTTCTGTTCTCCCACGATTGATCTCATTCTAAGATGTGTACCTACCTGATGTAACTGTTCATCCTATATGCCTGTTGTTTGGCTGAAGCCATGGGAGTGAGTTCATTTCCAAACCTGAAGGGCAACTACAGATCCTTCCTTCCCTGTACTCCCCTCCTCAAGTCCTCTCTCTTCTCCTCCCACCCCCAAGTATAATATTGCCCAATCCTTACAAACCAGCTCTTCCCTTCTGGTCAAACTCCCTCTTTCAGATTTCAATTACTGCTTCATGTGGATGACCCCGAGGTCTGTATTTGTTCTGGCTCTTCCTCAAATTGTGCACTTTCCACTGTTTACTAGTTAATTGCATTAGGATGTCTCACCCTTTTCTTCAAACTAAGTGTGTCCACACCTGAGTTCATCATCTTTCCTACCTGCTCTCCACCCTTGGTCCCTTGGTCCCACACTACCCACCCCTTTCCCTGTATTCCTGGCCAGTTTGCCAGTTTTAAGAAAATCAAGCATAGTGCCTAAAGCACTTGACTGCTAACCAGAAGACTGGTGGTTCAAACCCACCAGCCACTTCTCAGAAGGAAGGTTGGGCAATTTACTTCTGTAGTGATACCACCTCAGAAACCCAAGGAGGGGTTGCTATGAGTCGGGTCCTACTCATCAACACATAACAACAACAACAAAAAAAAAAATCAAAGGACTTCCCATATTGTTCTTCTTGCAGATCTCACCAAGATTCAACTAAAATAGGATTAAAGGGATGGGTTTCACTGAAGTTACCAAATCAGCAAAGCCTTCTGTAACCAGGTCCTGGGTATGGCTTTTCTCTTGCAGAAATCTCAATATAAGAACCCAACCCACCTTGCTCAGCAACAAGAACCCTGGAGTCGGCTCAGTTCAACTCAGACAATCACCTCCATGAGGCGGGAAGCCTGTTTTTTTGACCCTAAGGTACCTAGCATTAAAATGCTATTCATCTTTACATACACTTGTTATTGTTGTTAAGTGCCATCAAGTCGGACCCGTTCATGGCAACCCCTCCTTGGGTTGCCGAGGCGGTATCACTATGGAAGCAGATTGCCCAACCTTCCTTCCGAGGAGTGGCTGGTGGGTTTGAACTGCCAGCCTTCTGGTTAGTAGTCAAGTGCCTCAGGCACTACACTGCCAGAGCTCCTTTACATACACTTAGGACTCATTAATATCTTTTTTGAAAAGTAATCCTTCGTGACTCTTTAATCTTTCCTTTTGTCCCTAATCCAAAACCCTACCAAATCCAAAACCAATTTATCTGGTCTCTAGTAAGTCTGGAGGCTTGGGTTTTGCTCCTGGCAGTTATCTGGAGCAAATCATTTCCTCACCAGACTTCTCACTCTTTTGATTAAAACAAGGGTTTTATGAATGAGGTAAGGTCCACTAAGCCCAAGTCAGGGACAGCACGATTCCCATTTCTCCAGCAGAGATCACCACTCCTTAGATGAAAGGAGGGACAACTCTGAATTGACAAGAGTCAAGTCACTATGTAAAGCAATTTAATGTGTAAAGAGTTGGTGGATCTCAGCCCAACGCTAAGGGGAAGAGTCCAGTCCCACAGAAACTGACCAGAGAATGCCAGATATGGCTGAGTTAGCCCTGGGGGCAATTTACTTCCTCTGTAGATAACTCTGCGTAACTAAGGAAGTGCTTGGCTGCTAACCTTTCAAGTCCATCCAGATGTGTCTTAAAAGGCCTGGTAGTCTACTTTCTACAAAATTAGCTGCTGAAAACCCTATGGAGCACAGCTCTACTCTGACATACGAGATCACCATAAGTCAGTTGACTCCATGGTGACTGGTTTGGTTTTTGGTTTGGTAGATACCAAAGGATGACCTGGATTTCCGCTTAGCAGCCTTGTACAACCACCACACTGGGGCATTCAAGAACAAAAATGAGATACTGGTACACCAGGAGACCATTCAGGATACTCATGGGTAAGTGTTGAGGCTGAGCCTTTCCACTGAGGACCTGCCGTCCAATCACATGAGGTAAAATGTTACCTGGGAAATACCAGACAATAAATAGATACTCATTTGTATACAAGTTTCTGGTTTTTTTTTTTTTTTTAATATCTGTACAAGTAATGCAATTCCTGTATTTAATTGTTTAGAATAAACAAAATCCTTCAAGATCATGCTTACCTGTATAAACAATTAAAACTTTAATTCCAAAAAGGAAAAAAAAAAAAAAAAGGCCCTTTGGCTGCTTTATTTCTGAGGTTGCACGCCACTTTGCTCCTCACCTTTCTCTGATTTCAATCATCCCTATTATTCCCCAACTATTTTCTAGAATCATTAAGATCCCAGAAGAATTTTTATCACCTCCCCCATTACCTCCTATTACTTCCCTGGCTAACATCAGACACTGGATCAACCCTAAGAAAGAGTCCATCCACAGCATCCAGGGTTCCATAGGTAAGTGTCAGAAGACTAGCTGGGCAGATAGTGGTGTAAGAGTCCTTCTGAATGGACCCAGGAATCACGAAGTTGAAGTGACTAGCTAGTAGGGAACATCAGGGAACTGAAGATCTCGTAACAATAATGACTAAGTTGGAACATCTCAGACTATTACCAGGGGATGGAGATACACAGCTAGGAGAATGAATTCAATTTTTCAGAGCCTTTGAGCTCAGCTTAGATATAAGACGAAACACTTGCAACAAGGGCAGGCAAAAAGCAGAAACCTAGAGCAGAAGACCTGTAGCTACCGCCATATGTTAGTTTCCTCAGCTGTTATGAGAGTCTTCTCCATAGTGCCCATAAATGGATGGGTGACTAAAGGTTCCCAGAAAAAGCAAAGGATCTAAAATTCACAGCTCACTCTTAATATTGACTTTCTTTTCTCTCCAGTGTCCCCTCACACTGCAGCCACCAATGGAGGCTACTCCCGAAAGAATGATGGTGGCTTCTTTTCCACCTAGTGTTGACAGGCTCTGGATGACTCAATCATAGTGGAACATCCTGCCACCACCACCATTAAACAGATTTGTGCAAGACGAAGCCTGATGTGTTTGTTACCCATGGACTTGACTACCCTTAAAATATGGGAAGGAAATATTTCAATTTCTGTAAATTAATCCTGTTGGGCATATTTGCATCTTTGAAAGCTACTATGCTAACAAAATAAGAATTAGGATAGAATAGCAGAATAGGCACTGGTAGGAAACAGGTATTCATATTTTGTAAAATGGAGTCATTCCAACCATATAGATCCATTGATTCAACATTTATGGCAAACTGAGATATGTCAAGACACTGAGCTAAACCCAAACCCACTGCCATCTAGTTGATTCCAACTCATAGCAGCCCTACAGGAAAGAGAACTGCCCAAATGCTTTCCAAGGCTGTAAATCTTTACAGAAGTAGACTGCCTCATCTTTCTCTGAAGAGCTGCTGGTGGGTTCAAACTGCTGACCTTTTAGTTAGTAGCTGAATGTTTTGACCACTATGTCACCAGAGCTCCTTGACACTGAACTAACTGTTGGGGAAACAAGAATGAACATAGCCCTTCTCTTAAAGAACACACAATTTTTGTAGCTCTAAGCAGTATTTATGCCAAGGCCATGCTGAAGATTTCAGACTTTCTGGGTTCAGTCATTTGCTGGGATCCACTGTTCCCCTGCAAATTCCTTTGGAGGGCTCATGACACATCTAACAAGCCTTACTGCTTAGGCTGGGTATGGTAAAGCTTAGGCTTAGCACATTACTAGGTCCTTAGTTAAGACATTAGTCAAGAAATGAATTATTATAATCTCAGATGTAACATTATAGAAGTAAACAGGAAAGACATTGCCTACATCTGACTCTGTTGCACTAAGTAGAGGTATGCCCTCTAACAGGTTTATGCAGTGAATTCTGAGTGAGATGATTAGTAACTCACATATACTCACATATACTTTGTCTTTGTAAGTTCACATATACTTTGTCTCATGTCATTGACCACAGTTTACCACAGTACAACAGCTCCCCTCCCACTTCCTCCTCATAGTTACCTCTTCCCAGTGTCCATCCCTCCATACATTCCTGCCCCCTGAGCTGTCTCTCTGTGCATAAGCAGCCCTTCTTTCTCCCATGACTGTTCTCTCCAAGGAGTGTATCTACTTGAGGTAAATGTTCAACTCATATGCCTGTCTTCTGTTTGGCTGAAAACCACAGGTGTGGGTTCAATTCCAGACCTAGGAGCTCTGGCACCATAGTGGCTAAGACACTTGCCTGCTAACCAGACGGCTGGCGGTTCAAACCCACCAGCCACTCCTCGGAAGGAAGGTTGGGCAATCCTACTTCCATAGTGATACTGCCTCGGAAACACAAGGAGGGGTCACTATGAGTCGGGGGCGACTTGACGGCACATAACAACAACAACAACTGTTTCCCTAGGGCGTCTCCTTCCTGGTTCTAGTTCCTTCCATTGTTCATTCTCTAACTCTGCGATCTCTTGTCAATCTGTGTTGATTCATAGTTCCAGTTCTTAAAAACATGGTTCACTAATTTGGTGCTTACATTTGAAGGTACCTAAAAATTGATTCCTTAACATAGTTTCTAAAATTATAAATCACACACAGGAATATGCTGTGCCAAAAAGAAAAAGGTTAGGCAAGAAATGGCAGCCCCTTTGACTGTAGAGATACCACCATGGAAACCCAAGGAGGGGTTATGAGTCAGAATCGACTCCACAGCAGTGAGTTGTTTTTTGGTTTTTAGAATATTATATAATTCCCTTTTACAAGTAGGTTTGGACAGCATATGTATTGTTAATTCAGTTATGAAAGTTTCTTCTTGGTACTCAGGTACAAAAACAAAACAAAACAAAACACCAAAACCAAACTCACTGTGTGGAGTCGTTTCCGACTCATAGTGACCTTGAACCGATTCATAGTGACCTTGAACCGACTCATAGTGACCTTGAACCGCCAGCCTTCTGATTAGCAGTCAAATGCCTAAAGCACTAGGCCATCAGGGCTCAGGTACAGGTCTTTAAAATACCACAAAACCTCAAAGCCCCTCCAAGCCATTCATTTAGTATGTGCTGCCAAGTGGCATTATGAAGTTTCCATTCTCATTACTTAAAATGGCAAATGTGGTGGGGAGGAGTGTCGTTGACAAAAATCACCTCATGCAATATGAGATACTGATTTTAAAAATTAGCACTGTAATCCATGCCTCAAGCCTTTAAAAAATAGATTCCTAGGCCTCCCTGATGATTTTTAATTCGTAAATCCCTAGGATCTGAATTCTTACGAGGTTTCTCAAGCTCTCGTACATTTTCACATAAACCAAGAAACCAAACCCACTGCTGTAGACTAGACTTCTACTCACAGCGATAGGATAGAGCTGAGCGGACCCATGGGGTTTGCAAGGCTGTTAGGGAAGCAGAGTGCCACATCTTTCTCCCGCTAACCTTCCGGTTGGCACTCGAGCGCTTTAACCACTGCGCCACCAGAGCTCCTGAATACACACACACATATTGTGTACGCTTTCGGTGGTAGTCCCACTAGTGCCTTGGGCCCTAGGGGCTTCCAGTATTTATACCATATAGTCACCTTGATGAGCCCGGCCTACAGATAGAAGGTAGAGGGCTATCCTAAAAACGTGTTGGCTAACAGTGCCTCACTCCAGCTCGTCACCGCGGGCGGGGCGACAGCTTCTCTACGGTCTCTCTCAGTCCGTATGCGCCGGATGCGGCATCCGACCGTTAATGCGCGCGCTCCCAGCTACAGGCAGCCAGGCTGCCGGGCACCGTGTCCTGGGGCTGGGCTCAGATCAGAATCGCCTCGATAATCAGCGGCCTGGGACAAGCCAGGCCTCGTCTATCTGATCAATTCATCATTTCTGAGCGCCGGGCCCCGTCAGACCTTGTACGGGACCTAGGGGACCGCAGCGTTGCCACCGCCAATGGGGCCTCGCTGCACAGCGCCCCGAAGAGCTTCGCAGGAGGGGAATATATCACTTCGGGTTGGCCCGGCGGGGCTGGGGTCACGACCCGATCAAATAAGATCAAGGTGTAGGCGGGGAGAGGGGTACAGGGGCGGGCGCATGCACTCATCTTACACTCCCCACGCGCGCCCACTCACACTTTTGCGTACACTCACTCACTCACCCGCACGCACGCAACTTTCACGCGACACAGCAGCACTACTGAGAACACCCCAACCCCAGACCACTCTACCTCCCGTATAAGAAACGGAAGTCCTCTCCTTCTTTTAAATCCCCTCCTACCCACCTCGGAGGATTCTGGGAGGAACCACAGAGCACTGGCGGGAGACTCCTGCAACCGACCTCGTCCAGGAATGTGTTGCTGCCCCCTCGTGGATCAGAGAGGAATCTAGGTTCCAGGGAACCAAACCCACTGCCATTGAGTTGATTCAGACTCATAGCCAGCCCCATAAGGTTTCCAAGACACTAAATCTTTACGGAAGCACATTGCCTCACCTTCTTCACGTGGAGCAGCTGATGGGTTTGAACCGCGACCTTCTAGTTAGCAGCTAAATGCCTTAACCACTGCGCCACCAGAGTTCCTTAGGTCCAAGGAAAAGAACAAATTTCCATGACACTGAATCATCATGGTTGTCTTTGTATTCTTCCGTGCAGCTACATATTTATATCCATAGTTTTTCTTTGATCTCGGATTTTTACTTTATGTTAAATTTGTAAATGCCTAGATTCTCCTGTGAGATCATTCAATCTCAGCAGATGCATAAGTGAATGAATCCTTTCCCACGGAGACAGCAAACCTGGTCATTACCAATAAGAACATCAGTTCCCTTAGGAATTCCTCCTCCCAAACATTTTACCAAAGGGAAAGGTGGGAAATAGATTATTTAAACCTCAGGTTTAGGTGATCAGGCAGGTTATCTGTGAAATGTGTGAAGGTAGGCAAGCATATTCTTCTGTCCTCACAGAGCCCTCTAGCTGCCAGGAACTTGATACCATGGGTGTCAGATTGGATTGCCAGGATGCATGATTTTCATACCATTAAATATATATCTGATCCAAGCCTCAAGATTAGTGGAGTGAAAGTGCTGAGTATATAATTAACTCCTCACATTAGCCAGCACATTAACGTAGCAACTCCTTCCTCTGTTTTCAGTGAAACAGGAATACCATAAACCAAACCACTGCCATCAGTCAATTCCAACTCATACACAGCAAGCCTGTAGGATACAACAAACTGCTCTGTAAGGTGTCCAAGGCTGTAAATCTTTACAGTAGCAGACTGCTCAAACTGTGGGTTACTAGCCTGAGCATTTAACCATTGCATCATCAGGGCTCCTTGAAATAGGAATGGGGCAATGAATCAAAAGAATTTTCCTATTTTGGACATTAGAAATGAATTGTTAAATTATAATTTTCACTTATTCCACTATGCATGTGGAATAAACAGAAAGGCAAGTACTATTTTATGGGCCAGACACCCCATTGGCTCAAGGCTTTTCTAGGCACCTGATAACCTGATAGCCTCATATGAATGAAGTCTATGGCTGGTAGTAACAGATGATATTTGTGGTAAGTGAAATGTTGTTGTTGTTGTTGTTATGTGCCGTCGAGTCAAACCCGACTCATAGCGACCCCTCCTTGGGTTTCCGAGGCAGTATCACTACGGAAGTA